ACAATACCGGAAGACACCATGAAATGACTTTTTTTCAATTCAAAACTAAGCCTTTTTCTTCACATCTTGCCAAGACTCTTTTCAAATTTGACAAACATGCATCAAAGGAGGTCCCAAAGACAGTCAAGTCATCCATAAAAACTTCCATGCAATCATCTACCATATCACTAAACATATTCATCATGCATCTTTGAAATGTGGCAGGGGCATTGTAAAGTCCAAATGACATTCTATGAAATGCATAGGTACCAAAAGGACACGTGAATGTGGTTTTTTCCTGGTCTTCTAAAGCAATCTCAATTTGATAGTATCCTAAATAGCCATCTAGAAAATAGTAAAAGGGATGACCAACCACACGTTCAAGTATTTGGTCCAAAAAGGGAAGAGAAAAATGGTTTTTGTGAGTGGCAGCATTTAACTTCCTATAATCAATGCACATGCGCTAACCAGTTACCATTTTTGTAGGGACCAATTCACCTACTTCAGTTTTTACAACAGTGACACCTGACTTCTTAGGGACTACCTATGTAGGGCTAACATATTTACTGTCTACAATTGGGTAAATGATTCCTGCATCTAGCAATTTAAGCACCTTATTCTTTACCACTTCCTTCATTGTAGGGTTTAGCCTAAGTTGTGAGTCTCTCCTAGGATTAGCCCCTTCCTCTAAATGAATCCTATGGGAACAAATTAAAGGACTAATACCTTTGATGTTGGCTATGGTCCATCCTAATGCAGATTTGTGTTCATTTAGAATGTTTAAAAGTTGTTTACATTGTAATGCATCCAATTCTGACGAAATAATGAGAGGAAAGGTATCACCTGGTCCAAGGAACACATGTTTCAGTCCTATAGAAAGTTGTTTCAATTCTGGCCTAGGGCTTTCAATACTTGATGGTTTCTGTCCTCTAATCCTTTCTGGCAATTCCTCAAACTTGGGTTGCCATGGTGAAGTCCTGTGGTCATGCAATTTTGCAAAAATAGCACAAATGTTAGCATACTCATCAACATCAAAATCACATGAAATTTCAGAATTTAGGAGAAAAGAGTTCAAAGAATTAGAATCAACTATTGTGGATGCTTCCTCCTAAGTGAGTTCATCAATCATGTGGGTTTGACGGCATTTATCGTCTTCCGTAGGTTGTTTGGTGACATGGAAAATATTGACTTCTAGAGTCATATTTCCAAATGTCAGCTTCATCAGACCATTTCTACAATTAATAAGAGCTTGATTTTGACTTGTCTGAGGTGTTCTAGGATTTCATTATGCTGACCTGTTGATTTCAAAATGGACTTGAGAGCTTGAGGGAAAGGTATTCTAGCTAGGTTTTCCACAACTTCCTCACTAGGACTGCTCTCATTAGGCTCACTTGGCTCTTTTCTATTCTCTCTAGGTGGAGGGGTTGGTTTTACAACCTTTCCTGATCTAGTGGTTATAGCATTCACCTCCTTAAAATTTGTTTCTTTAGATCTTGAGGTTTGTGCCATGTGTTGCCCTTTTGGGTTTTGTTGAGCTTGAGCTGGAAACTTCCCACGTTTCCCTACAGATAAGGCATTGGTTAATTTAGACATATGATTCTTTATCTCTTTGTTTTCCTCGACTACCTGGGCAATCATAGTCTCAAATTTTTTATTTGTTTTGCCTTGCCCCTCGATGAATGCATGTAGGGTGTCTTCTAAAGAATTCCTAGAGGACATGGGTTGACGTGAGGGTGCATTGTAAGCTCGAGTTTGTTGGGCATGTTGTTGGTTCTCAGACTTCCAGCTAAAGTTGAGGTCGGAGACATTAGGTCCAGTCCAAATGTGAGCCTTTTCAGCTAAGTTGTCTAGATACTCTATGACTTCATCCGGGTCTTTTTGTAAGAAGTCTCCATTACACATCATTTCAACAAATTGACGCTCCCTAGGTACTAGACTCTTATAAAAGTAACTCACCGCAAGCCAACTCTCATATCCATGGTGGGGGCAAAGGGTTTGTAACTCTTTGTATCTCTCTCAGGCTTGGAATAAGGTTTCACTATCCTTTTGGACAAATGAGGAAATTTGCTTCTTAAGGATAGTAGTCTTATGATGTGGGTAATATTTGTCAAAAAAAAGCTTGGGTCATTTCAGCCCAAGTTCCAATCGAACGTGATTTCAATGAATACAACCAGCTTTTTGCTCGTTCTTTGAGTAAAAATGAAAAAAGCATTTAAGCCTGATTGTAGCCATTGTACCATGTTGATTGTGGAAGGTTGCAACCACTTCCTCAAATTTTCGAATATGCACGTATGTATTCTTATTTTCAAGTCCGTGAAAAATGGGAAGAAGTTGAATCATTCCCGATTTTAGGTCCATATGTAGCATATCGGGTGGGAACATAAAGCAAGATGGCATGGAAGTGCGTGATGGGTGAAGGTAATCATGTAGGGTCCTATAGGGTATGTCGCCTTACTCACTATCGCTCATTGTGTTGTGTAATGTAATGCTCGTGTCTACAGATGCAGAATCAAAAAGAGGGTTAGAAAGTAATTCAAACACTAGTCGAGGTCTTGCAATGAATCGCCCTCACTCGTCTCAATACCTGTTCATAAAGCACAAAAATGCAAAAATATGAGAAATAACAAAATACAACTAAAAACAAACGACAAACTAAAAAGATAAAAGAGGGACGAAGTCACCCTTTTGCTCGAAAATTCTTTAATTATTTGTACCATCTCCTCGACAATGACGCCAAAATTTGATTACGTCCAAATTGTAACGCGGTGATTGTAGTATAGTTTTGGGGTTTCGTATCCACAGGGAGATGGGAAATTAATTAAAGGGTCCAACAAATTAGGATTTTCATTGTGAGTTGTGTAACGGATAATATATCAATTTGAAATGTGTTCAAATGTTAATATGTGAATTTACGGGATTTGAATCAAAGTATGAAATAGTGAAGCGCCGAAATTCCCTCAATTGGTTCGGATCATTCAACATCAATTATGCATTTATGTACTCAATTAAAAAAATTTCATCAAATTTTAATTGGAGAATACAACATTAAGGCCCAATTTTATTCTACAGTAATTCTAAAATATGGATTTTCTATAACACATACCCACTTTAATTTATTGAAATCGGATTCTAAATCCACCTTATACATCAAGCATAAAGTCGTAGAGAATCACACCAATAAATAATTGAAATTGAAATTTAACAATTAGGTTCATTTCACGATAGATAAAATATGATTAAATCTATGCAAAATATAGTAAAAGTTAAATCAATATCACAACAATGCTTGAAATTGAAATTCAATACATGTTTCAATTATTCGATGGAAAGAACATGATTAAATCCATGAAAATCTAATATATATTAAACCAATCTCAAAACTATTTATAAGAATAAGGAATCCAAATCTTGAATTGTTTAGCAATGAAAATCATATTACAAGCATGAGAAACGTTGAAATAATCAATACCAATCGAGTTCCTCCCTTGTTTCACCAAGGATTTCTAGTTTTTTATGGAGTTTCTTCACCCAAGATGAGAGAAAATTGATGTAGAGAGGAAGAATGGTGTTCTGGGTCTAGATTAGGGCTTAAAAACTCGTGCCAAACAAGTTTCCATAAGTGTCCGCGTCAAAATAAGAATCTGGGATTTTGTCCTCGAAAAATACCCATGCGGCCGCATGGTTATAAGCCATGCGACCGCATCGTTCAACCAAAATGGCCCAAAAGTTCTCGGAAGGCATCAGCTTCCAGTATTTTTACCATAACTTTCTCTCCCGATGTCCAATTGAGGTGATTCAAGTTGCGTTGAAAAGCTAACACGAAGGGCTATAACTTTTCTTCAAAAATCATCCTCCATGCCAAAAACTGGTCCCAATATGAGGCTGAAAATCGGTGTGTAACTTTTCCGATTGGGAATTGATTTGTGATGATGTTATGATCATATTTAACTTCCTTTGACTTCTAATTGCACCCAATTAACTCCTAACTTTCTTGAATCATCATTCCATTGCCCCGTCTCATTATGGATTATTTGCAACTTGGTTCCTGAGCTTTCACTTTTTTCCACTTTTGGCCCTTTTTACTCATTTCTTCCAAATTTTACCTTTTCCATTAAATTGTGACCTAGATCAAAATATAAGAGTAATGAGTGCATTTTAATGTTAAATAGTCATATGAATGCGACAATTAAGAGGGAAAAATATCATATTTTACACTATTATCACCTCTCAATCCGATGTCATTACTCATGAGAATCTTCCTTTTTCACTGCCCTCTTGCAGTTGATTTATAGAATCTTACCCTCTTCCACCTAGACTTTAACCTTTTCTTTTCTTCAGCTTTGGAAAATCGACTTTGAAAACATGGGACTCTAGCTTCTCCTTCCAGTCTATTCGAACATGGGCAGTGGCGAAAAATGTCGTTGATTGATTGAAATCTCCTCCGCCCATCATCTCCACCACTACAACCGCATGTGGGAGATGATTATTATCAAAGAAGCTATGGGAACTGATAAGGATAAGTTTTGTAGACTAAGAATTGTGGTTTTTGGAAAGACTATTGATCAATGTAGATGAAAATCAAGTGAAAATGATTGAACCATATTTGCCAATGTTTTATCGAACCCGATTTGGGAAATATGGGTTGTCTATGTTTTGTCAATCATATGTATATGCATTTAGAGAGTATGTTGGTTTGCCTTTTTAATTGTTTGATAAAATTTAAAATTTTTCTTTTGGGGTGTAGATTTTTTATTTTTATTTTTATTTAGTAATCTGACATGAGTTGTAGCTGATGAAATAGGCCAAGAAAAATGGCGTGCTTTGTGACTAGTGGAAATTATGTAATTTATTGGTGAAATGGGCGTTGAATTTCAAGGAAAATTGTCTGATTTGTGATTAATAGATATTTTAGTGATTGTGACCAGATGATTGCCTTGTGGTAAGGAAAATTAGTGACAATGACCGATTAATTGTATAATTTGTAATTATAAATTACATGTAACTTATTATTTATTTGATTTGTGACATTATATATCATTGTGATCCATAAATTGTATTATATGTGATTGTGACCTTGTATGTGATTATAATCCATTCGTTGTGTGGCATATGATCGTGACCTGTTCAGTTTCAATAATATGTTACAACATTTATCCAAGGCCACAGATTATGTGATCACTTGATTTTTGAGTTGTCACAATCACTCTTATAGATCTCTCAGGTTCTAAAATCATTATTTTTTTTTAGAAATTCGATGATCGTATTGGGTGACATCTTATAAAATTTCGTGACCCTTAATTTAATTAAACAGATCATGATCACAATAAACATAATTTATAACTATAGTAATATACTAGTCACAAACCACACAAAGTTATAATCACAAAAACACAATTTATAGGTTACAAATATAAATTTAGTCGTAAAATTACATATTTGTATAGGTCACAAATTACTTATCAGTCCGAACTCATTCTACGATCATAGATTATCAAATTAATTGATCACAAATTATTTATAGATCACAAGGACACATTATATGTCACAATTACAAATCTAGTGACAATCAAATATTTTTAGGTTAATGTAGAAAATAAATGCACGTAAATTTTAGAGAAATTCATTCAAAAACATGAAATCTATTTGTGAATTAGTTCAAATGAATTTACTTGTTATCTATTTTTTTTTTTTTGTATATTTTAGATTCTTCATATGAACATTTGCTATTAATTTTATTGAACTTTTTGTCACGAATATATTCTTAACTACATATAAGCAATGATTTGATGATTATCTATCATTCAACAATGGCACAAAGTGTCGTCAATCAACAATTCTTTCTTAAAAATCTTCTCATAGTTCTGCAGGCCAAAGATGCTCAGAGTGGATCTTGTTTTCAAATAGTTCATGTCTTCAGTTGGTGGTTGTGGGAACTTTTGTCCTATCTGCATCAACCAATATTTAAATTTTCGAAACATTTGAAAATAAAGTTATTCAAGAAGAAATATATATTATTGTGTAGATTAAAAGATTATATAAACATCGACATTTAGCAGCTAAAAGGAATTGATTTTTGCATATGTGATTTTAGAACTTCAATAACAATATAAATAAAAATAAAAATTCATTAAGACCTCTGCGGACAATTCTACAGCAGCAAATAAATTCTTGTCGAATTTGATAATCAGGTCATGAATTGAAAGCCTCTTCCGCTGCTCCATTAGCTGGTTCATTTCTTCAACCACCATCTCGTTCAGGTTGAATTGCCACAATGTAGAGGAGCTACTTGTATTTAAAGGGAAAAAACGAGTCCACTTATTTTAAAAAGGATCCAAAAGAATATACAGCGTAAAAAATAAAATAATGAATGCATTGATAAAATGAGAGATAAGACATAATAATACTGAAAGGAGACGGGATTACCTTTATTCTTCCTCTTAGCTCATGAAAATTCCATCGAAATTTGGGTAAAAATCTCAACATTACCTCCCTGAAATTCCAAAAAAAAAAAAAGTGAATTCATATTGTAGAAAATTGGAAATTCCTACCCCTCTTGAGCATGCAAACAACCATTTGATATTGGAAAAATAAATTAAATACATTTTAGCCAAAAGAACATAATATTTACCTCAATTTCGATCTTAGTTGTTGAACTGTCATTTCTTCTATATTCTTGGAATCATCACCAAGAAGCCCACTCTCCTTAACAATTTCCTATATTTCAAGGAAAACTCATCTTTACAACACAATAATTTCTTACAACCGCGCTAACCAACGCAACAACGCCAAAATGAGGGGAAAAAATAGTGACATTGAAAATAGTCTTTTGAATTTTGATGCATCAACACTTAATTGTAAGAAAATCGATCAGAGTCTTTTAAAACCCATTAATTCTAATTTCA